CTCCCTTTCACCCCCTGCCGCCTCGGGAAGCAAACTCACGACCCCACCCCCTGTGCCATCCGAACTCGGGAAAGCATGGCCTGTCCAACGTGAGAGCGAGCACATCCGGGATCCCGGAACTTCCTTTTGCCCTTAAAAAGTTTTTCTTCTTATTTTGCAGGTTGGGAAGGGCTTCAACTTTTTATTTATGTTTTGGGGGTGGGTGGGGCTTAAACTCTTAAAAAGTGATTAATAGTAACAACTGTTTTTCTTTGTTTGCCCACCCCCCCATCGGCCCCTGCCCCTTTATCCTCTCCCGTCTACTCTACCCGGGCGGGAATCGGTCCCACGATGAAATGAGGGAAAGCCCCGAGTGATCCTGCGTGTCCCGTGTGGTCAGTGAGTCGCTGAGGGCAGAGGGCGGGCCGGGACCTGGGCTGGAGGCAAAGTGGTCCTCGGGCACCGCCTGCCTGGGGTTTAGGAGAACCGGCACCCCGCCGCAGCCATGCTCTCCGGAAGGTAAATCGCTCTCCCGGTCTTCCCGATCGGGGCCTGATTCCGAGAGAAGGCTCCCTCCGGGAATGTAGGGCTCCTCTGCAGGGTTGTGGGTATTGGGATCCCGGGCATTAATCAGGTCTAACCACCGAGCCGGAATAATTATCCGATCTTATTATATATATATATACCCCCTAGCCCTCTGCCATCATGATCCTCCTTGGCAGCAGCAGTAGCCGCCTGAGGGTGAAAATGTGGGTGATGGGGAAGTTGGTCATGACTCCGCTCTTTTTTCTCATGGCTCCTTTGGGCAGCAGCTGCCCGCCCCCGGTATACACTGTAGTTGATTGCAGGGAATCCCTGTACCTCGCCCCGTCCTTCTCGACCGAATTTGCACTTTTCTCTTTGCTCACCACCAACTGTAATCAATAACAAGCACTGACAATAGATAGCAATAGTGAAATCTGAAATAACTAAGTTAATTAGCTACTACAGCCATGGGTCTGGCTGGGTAACACCCGATTGGATATTTCAGTTTCATTCCCCTACCCGGTTTTGGTGTTTTGTTTTTGTTTTATGTTTGTGTTTGGAAAGCAAGGATCACATTTCCCCCTTCCCACTCCTTTTCCTAACCTGTTTTCTAAAAAGGGAAAAACAATCCGAATGGATGGTAGGGATTTTTGGTCTGGTGTCAGCGCTGGCTTCTTGCACACCTAAGTCCCGATAATAGGCTTTTCCACTTCTCCCAAAGCCTTTCTTTCGGCAGTTGAGCCAAATGTCTTTTCCAAAAAGTTAGTTTTTCTCCTCTTTCTTTTCTTCCTCCCCCTTTTCCAGTATGACCTCAAGCGTTACTGTCCAACTATGACCGGACAGCAGCTTTCGTTTCCTGACCCTGTAATATGACAGTTTGCTAATATTGCCAGAAGGTGCAGTTTGGGGGTTACAGTTGGGATTTTAGCTATTCAGTCATATTAGCAGGGGGAAAAATGACTTGTTTCTGTTGTACTTGAGTCTTAAGAAAAAGTGCCCATAGTTTAGTGACAATTTCCAAAGGCTTTAGTACCACCTGTATCTCAAAATGGGGGACACAAACTCCCGGAAGAAACAAGCTCTGAACAGACTACGTGCTCAGCTTAGAAAGAAAAAAGAATCTTTGGCTGACCAGTTTGACTTCAAGATGTATATTGCCTTTGTATTCAAGGAGAAGGTAATGAAAGTTCTAAAACTGCATTAGCACGAGGGCTTTTCAGAAGTGTATGTTTTTGCCTGTTATTATTATGTAACCATGAACATTAGGCTAATGAGTGGTTGAAAAGTTTACTTTGCATCCTTTGTGTTTTGTGGGTCTGTAATTCTGCAGATTGAGTATTTGCACTATAACTGAATGGAAGTCCCTGGAATCCTCTTTGCCTTGGAAATGGACTATTCTAAAGCTTAGGGCCCACTTATAGTTAATTTGGATGAATAATATTGTAAAGTTATAGGCTGTGTGATGGTACATAACAAACTATAACTGAATATAAGGATTATTGTATGTAAAGTGAAAGCAAATAAGTGAATGGTAAATCAGAATCCGTGCTTATACACTAAAGTCAGCTGGCTTTTGACTTTCTCAACTCTGAAAAGTACCTTTTCTTATGGCTCACTAAATGAGATACAGTACACTTTAATTTTAAGAACACTTAAATACTGTCATGGTGGAGATTTAAAGTGTTAATTTTTTATTTTTCAAAATGTTCTAAAGAGGAAGTTTAATTTTCTGGAGGGCGGTGGTCTTGGATAGAATTCTATAATTAAGTAATGTGGTTTATCAATAATCAGGACATGATGCAAGAAGTAATATTTTTTTCCATTAAAATGGACAGTTTATAATAAGGGCTATTTGACTCGTGATTATGTTACGAAAAAAGGAAAGACCACTTTCATTTTCACACATTGTGAGCTAATTTCATATCCAAACTTAGACTCTTCATATGGTATCTGTTTAATATTTGGGAGTTTCCCACGTTTTTACTCTACTTTTGGCTCTTCAAGGTTAAAGGAATATAGCTATGTAAAGTGGCTTCAAGAGGGAATTTATTTTGGAGTGATTGTCACAAGATGAGACATTACCAAGGATGTACTTCCACATTTTCTCCCTTTTTTAATATTGAAAATGGATAGGATCACCCGATCTGATCCCACCACACCGAGGCAAAATACCAGAGGTGTGGAACAGAGCAGCAAGGGGACAGAGCAACGAAGTCCCCAGGAATACCAACAATAGACTCTGGGGCCAGGGCTTCGCGCCCCACAGACTGGACTGGAAAACCCTCCTAAAGGCCAACAAACAGTCCCTGAACTAACAAGGAATTATAGGTGGATTATTGACTAGAAAATGAATCTGAGGTACAAGTGGCGAGACCAGATCTTTGTGTTTAAGCTGGAAGAAGTGGAAAATTGTACTATTTTTAAAATACCGGTAGAAAGTTGTTATATGAATAACAATTGAGAGACAGTATTGAGGGAGTTACCATGCACAATTCATGATTATACTTAGAATTAGAAGAATGTTGTGGGTTTGGGTTGATCTTGGTCTCATACTTCTGAGACTCGACTTGAGTAGATTTTTTTTTTTTTGGTCTTTCAAATATTGAGACTTGTGTAGTTGTGGGATGTCCGGAAAGAGAAATGGAGATTGAACTATACAAAGTAAAACTTTTATTCTCAGTTTGTCTGAATGGCTGATTTTTAAAAACGGCTTAGGTTTTAATTTAGATGTATATAGACCAGATAAGTGGGATTACAGCACAACTGTATTTTAAGTGGCTGGTGTTTGTTCCTCATAGCATTTAAATATGAACGCTTATTTTCTCAAAATAAGTATTTACTATGGATGTCATAACTGTTAAAACTGGCAAGGTAAAAATTCTGCTAGGAGCATTTATGTATAAAGGATAAGGGTGGTGTAAAAAAAGGATCAGACTCTCAAAATCTGTATTTTTTTAGGAGGGAAGTTAAGAATTTTACTGATTAGAATAAACACATTTAACATTGGTACGTGAACTGCGAGTTATAAGATAATGTGCTACTAGTGGGTTAACATGGTGTTTTGTTTTTTTTTAAGAAGAAAAAATCGGCACTTTTTGAAGTGTCTGAAGTTATACCAGTCATGACAAATAATTATGAAGAAAATATCCTGAAAGGGGTGCGAGATTCCAGCTATTCCTTGGAAAGTTCCATAGAGCTTTTGCAGAAGGATGTGGTGCAGCTCCACGCTCCTCGATACCAGTCTATGAGAAGGGTAAGTCAGTTCTGTTGTCAGTCTTGACTGGGCCGTCAAGTTTTATGAGCTCAGCTTACTTATTTTTTCTATAAAAGTCAAGTTACTGTGGTGATGGATTTCTCAGTAACACAAGTTTTGTGTAACAGAAATTAAGGAACTTTCATCAGGCCTGCAAAGTGTAGTAAGGCCTATCAGTAATAAAGTAAATGAATGAAAATTTTTGTTGTGGTGGTTAAGTAAATATTTACATTTCCACCAATTTTACTTGCAAATGAGTTTTGATTTTTTTTAGTCTTCCAGGGGGTAGGATTCATTTTCAGCTATTATCGAGCCTCCAAAATTTGACTTTTTTGAGAATTATGTTTGTCCAAAGCCATGCTTTCAGTATTCAAGCCCTGTTGATTCGGCATTCGAATCTTTACACATCTTTTGTTTTATTTTGTTTCTTAAAAGCAGCATCACATAGGGTGCCATCGGGTCCACTCCTCCTCATGGTAACCCGTGTTTGTCAAAGAACTATGCTTCATAGAGTTTTCAGTAACTGATTTTTTGGAAGTAGATCACCATGGCTTACATAATATAGAGGTGCCTTTGAGTGTACTTGAACCTCCAACCTTTAGGTTGACAGCTATGCCCTTAAATGGTTTGCACCACCCAGGAACTCCACTGTGTTTCCTAGGATTAGAAAAGTATGGTTCTTGCAGTAGACCGATCTTAATATGGATAAAGTTATGGACAGATCTCTTTAATCAAGTTACAGCCTGGTGATAGCCATCTGTTTGTAATAATTCAAGTGCTGTACATAAAACCTAGTTTTTAAATTCTTAAAAATACGTTTGTTTTAAAGCTGACTTCAAATGCAACCTGTGTTGCTAACTTAAGTGTAACTGTATATGGGGTGCTCCCCACACAGTGGTATATGACACAGACAAAAAAGCTTCCCCTTCGCGGGGAAAAACAAAACCAACCCCCTTTATAAATAAGCAGCTTAAAGTGGGAGGTGTTAATTGGTGCTAACTTTCTAAACTTCTGCAACATGCCGAGAGCTTAGCTGGGTGTTCTTAAGCCATGAGTAAGAATTAGAGATCAATGTCAGAAGACCAGGAGGACCATGTACTTGTCTAGAAAAGTTGTTTTCGCCAGAAAATAAGACTGGACCATGATGGTGAGGGGAGAAGGAATGGGGAAAAGTAGTTTTCTGTCAGCATCTAACACAAAAATGGCATTTCCTCTGGAATAAGGTGGTGTCGTGGCTCGTGTTAGAAAGTTGCAGACACCTGCTTACACAGGTTCTGACAGGCGTAGAAGTAAAGCTACAGGGGTTACCAAGAAAAACAAAGGTCCCACAACAAACAAAATCTAGTTCAAGTTTTCACCACGCACTGGTGCATCTTAGCCTCAGTGTGAGAAACCCTGGGCTGAGTCAGACTTGAAGATGGGCTTTACCGGGCAAATCTAGACTGCGGGCCCGGGCTGTTGATTGTACCCGGTGCTGTTACAACAGAAACTCTTCTGCTATGCTGTGAAACGTCATCCTGTGTGCCGTTCACCTTTACGTTTCTTTGAAAGCTTTTTTTTCTGGTCATTTTCTAGGATGTCATTGGCTGTACTCAGGAGATGGATTTCATTCTTTGGCCTCGGAATGACATTGAAAAAATTGTCTGTCTCCTGTTTTCTAGGTGGAAGGAATCTGATGAGCCTTTTAGGCCTGTTCAGGTAGTATATTCTAAAATAAGTGTGGTGAACACTTCAATGAAGGGGGAATTCTTGGAATGGGGTCTGACATGAGAAATTCTTTGGGTTATGCTTTCTAATAAGTCGTCCGTCCCCGCCCTTTCCTCCTCCGCCCCCACCACCATGGGCTCTTTTTGAATGTTGTGATGTGACAGGAGAAAAAGCATTTAGATTGTAGGATCTCTTGAGTTTAAGGTGGTTATAACTACCTAGCGTGTGTCTGAAGTTATTGCCGGAGAAAATCCTGTATGATAGGTGTTGGTTTATATAGAGGGAGCCATAAATGGTCTATTGCCCTCTCCACCTCTGAAATAGTTTCCTTATCTAGCCTCGCCCTCAAAGGAGTGTGCTCTAAGAAACTGCTCTAGAAGTTGATTTGTAGAGAAATATTTTTATTGGCATATAAAAGTCTGTAGGCGGGAAGTGAAGTAATGGCTTGTAACTAACTGCCCTTGACATATTCTTGCTCACATTTGCCTGCTTTGTCGCTTGATACATTTGACAATTTCTAGGGTTAAATTATGGGTACTACTTGACTATGTTTTGATGATCCCAATTTTATAGATAGTACATAGCATAAGGAAAAAGCAAGAGGTGGTCCGCCCAAATGTTAATGATGGTAGTCCTCGATCTGGTGTGAATAACTTAGTACTTGAAAAAAGATATATGGTCATGAGGGTACTCAAAACCGTTTGTGGGAAAATTTTACTGTCTTTTAATTCCATTTTTCCATGAACTTTGTGATGTCCCTGGCATTTTCATAATTTTCTGTACTGAGCACACACATTTTTTATAATCAGGAGGGGAAAACACCCTAAGAAATCATGACTTGAGGTTTAAATGTTAGAAGATTTATTTTGAGCAAGAGTTTAGAAGTATGAGAACTAATTGACACTCGGAAACTGTTTTGCATCTATCCATTACTCTGATGGCTCTTGATGGTGCTTTTGTGTGTGATAGATAATGTGTATGCAGAAATGCCTCCCAGGTCCTGCGGTGGGTGACGCTGTGGCATCAGTTCAAATAAATTAACATTCCTTGTTCTAAGGCCTCCTTGATAGTAATAAATTCTCAAGATAATACATCGGCTAGATAGAAGTAAATAAAACAATCTAAAACCAAAAAAATTATTGTTGTGAGTCATGGCAACTCTAGTTACATTAGAAAAGACCTATAATCAGTCCATAGAATTATTCAGTGGTTGCTTTTTTTTGGAAGTAGATTGTCTAACCTTTCTTCAGAGGAGTTTCTGGGTCTATTAGACCTCCAACCTCTTAGTTAGCCAAGCATTTTAACCATTTCTACCACCCAAGTGTAAGCTGGATAGGTGTGTCTTTCAGTAGGTATCTGATTAACATGAATATGTTGGCAAATTAACTTGAGTACAAAAAGAGAAGGGCTGTAGGAATGGAAAAGGCATGTTGATTGCTATCAGGCAGGTCTTATAAAGCCCTCCCTTCTTACGACTTTTGTGAGAGGGTTAGGGTTTTTGTAATTGAGAATTTCCCATAGGAAATTTTGTGGGTCCGTTTATCACCCCATCATATCATCTCTCCCTCTGGGACCTTACTTGGGCTACTTGTCGCACATTAAGGTCTGTTTGACTTGCACTCCCAACCCCTCCCTTGGTGTACTGTGTGTGACAAGCCTCATGTTACTACATTCTGGACTGAACATAAGCACTAGGATCCTATTTTAGAACGCCAGTTAGTAAATAAATGAACCCTGTAAGAACTCGTTTGGGTCCCTAAAAATATTTCAAGTGTTTGCATGCGAAGCTTAAATATAAGTGCTCTAAAGCTAAGCTTTTTAACTTTTGTAAACTGTGTGTGTGTGTGTGTGTGTGTGTGTGTTTAAATCTTGAAGCACTGAATTATCTTGACAGTGGGTTTAATAGGAACCAAATGAAGTGGTTTAAATGCCAAGTTTCTGGTATAGTCAAACATTACAGAGTTCTGGGGGTTATGGATGGCCTTGTTAAAATATGTCTCCTGATGCTGCTGTTCCAGGCTTGCTCTTCATGCCACTGTTAGCATTAAATAAGCAATTCAGTAAGAAGTAATAAAAGATTCCGTTTATAAGAGCTAACTTTTGGCTAGACCATTCCATCTCAAATCAGCACAACTCCCTGTTTTCAATGGGATAGAATTGGGGTGCTATCAAATTATATTTGAAGGCTTTTTTTTGGTCTTACCCAGACCTCTTTCCAATGTGTTAAATTCACTTCTATGCACCATAACATTTGCCCCTGTGGAATACTTGGCAGTTTTTTTATTTGAACGATATTTTGATTTTGGCATGATTTATACTTGTGTTCATCTCATTTCCTAGAATGACATTTTCCCAAATTGCTAGCCATGATGACGTTCCCTGGGGGAAATGATCTTTTAAGACTCTAGCTAAATATCACCTGTTAATGCTCCCTGCACTACCTGCCCACTCTGTCAGTTGTTCCTTTTTCCTTTTAGCATTTTGATGTTCTCTCGAAAAGAATCGGAAGCATGTTTTCCCTTTGTGCTTGCCCTTTGCAGATGTTGCTGAGCAGCATCTTGAGGTTGAGAACTTTCTTCATAGCTTCCATTATGGGTTTATGTGGTTGGGGCACTTAATGTAAATTTTAAAAGAACACTGTTCATTACAGTGAAGAATCTTTAGGCTTAAAAGCTACTAAGTGATAAAATTCCTAATTAACCGTTTTTCCATGTTGGTATTTCTTACTGTATTGGACATAATACCATGTTGTTTTGGAAAATTAGCATGCAGAAGTGGAGGATGTCCACATCAGACATTATTACATAACCTCTCAGTCACTGAGAATCATAGTCCTCATAACCACACATTGTTAATATGCAAAAGTTAAATTAGTAGACGTTTTTATTGTGGTCATTGATGTGAAATGTTGGGTAATTTTCTAAAGTATGTTCCGGTGTTACTGGAGAGGGAGATGTCATTGAGTGGATGTGAACGTGTGAGATTATATGACGTCTGGGGGCAGTGGCGCTTCATTGGCAGGGTTTGGGACTTAGTCCAGTTGGTGCACATTTTGTCTTGAAGGTCCTAGTGATCACGGAGCGTCATCCTCTGGAACTATTTTGTGATGAAGGAAATGGTACACATCTTGGAGGCTGTTCACAGTAGTGGCCACTAGCTAGGCATGAACATTGAATACGCGAAATATGGCTAGTGTCACTGAGCCATTTAATTTTATTTACATTAAATGGCCACATGTGACCATCAGCCAGTGTGTATGTGGATAGCGCACATAGCATGCATGTGGGTGCAGGTGGTGTGATGTGTTTGTAGTTACACAGGATTGTTTGTATTTCTTATGTAGGCCAAATTTGAGTTTCATCACGGTGACTATGAAAAACAGTTTCTGCATGTACTGAGCCGCAAGGACAAGACTGGAATTGTTGTCAACAATCCTAACCAGTCAGTGTTTCTCTTCATTGACAGACAGCACTTGCAGGTAATAAGCATTTAAAACACAACAAATGTACCACCACTACAATAACAAAACAGGTCATTTGATGATACAAACTTACTGATTAGTAAACCGTTATCTTGGCAAGATATGATCTCTATCAACACTACATTCTCTTTAAAGTTAATATTAAAAAGAAGCTGTTCTGTGGCTTGACTCCCAAATATTTCTGTCCATGAGCAGTCGCCAGGAAGGTTTTAAAAGTCCTGACTAGAGCCGACAGACTTCCTTAAAGCTTTCCTGCCTCAAGTCTAGTTGGCAGGTCAGCGGCAACTGAACATGTGTCGGAAATGTAGAACCTCGGCCCCCACTGGCCTTCTGAACCAGTCTGCATTGTAACAAGGTCCTCAGGTGACATGGTATCATTTTGAAATGCACTACCCTGGGTCTCTGAAATCAGAATCTAAAGAGGTAAGGGATGTTTGGATTTAAAATAGGCTTACATATTTCAAATTCAGGCAGTAATCTAAATATTCCAGTTTAGTTTAAAAAAATACTTATTCTCATCAGACAACCTGAATATCAGCATTTTAAATTTTTGATAATTTGTTATAAGCTATTAAAAAATAGCATCCTGATTTACTATCTAATATATGAGCATCAGGCTCTGTACAACTATGAACGAGATAGTCAAAAATTCGTGCCTTCGTGGAATTGCATTTACTAAATAGGTAAATGCAGTGTTGGAATGTTGAACCATGATAGGCGCTCAGGGGAAAAGGAAGCAACTAAAAGGGACTTGAGTTGTTGACAAGTTTAAAATTTTATAAGGTCTCTAAGAAGGTGATTAAAGATCAACCTTCCCTCTCCCCAAAAGACGTTTTTTTTAAAAACTAATATTGGTAACATAAATTTTTATATTTGAACTTGGAGGTTCTATGTGCAAGATGCTAAAATTCAAAGGTGAATTAGATGGGGCTTTGTGGGTTACTGTTTTCCAATTTCTTTTAAACTCCTAAGTTTGGGTTAAAAGCAGGGCGACTGGACAGTATTTGCCTGGAATGGCCGCCTCACCTGGCTGGCCTCCACGATTGGGTGGCCACAGGGTAGATGAATTTGGTCTTCGGGCTCCCCTTCCTCCCAGCTTTTGTTGTTGAGCTTCCTAACTTGAAAGTGTGTCGGCGTGTGTGCATAGCCTAGCAGGGTTCGTGAGGAGTTGATTTGATAGTGGCCAACATAACATCTATTGTATTTTGTGCCAACCTCTAAGCTATATATGCTCTATACCTGTAAACTTACTAAATCCAAAAAACAGTCCTCTGAAGAGAGTATTATCACTACTTTTTCAGCTGAGGGAACAAAGAAATTAAGTAATTTGGTTAGAATCACCATCCTATGTCCTTTATTATACCACATGATTGAAGTGCCACGATTGAAGTAAATGTGCCTGTGCTGCTATAAGGCACCTAACTGGGATGGATGGGTACCAGTACAGATACAGACACTGTTGTGTGATCTTGGGCAAGTAGCTTTAATGAGCATATTCTTGTGGTACCCTGAGCAAAGCATATTCATAAGGCCATTGTGATGGGTAATCAGATTGCTTCCCCCTCCTAGCATAGTGGTTATGCTTTGGGCTGCTAACTGCAAGGTTAGTAGTTTGAACCAACTAGCCCCTCTTTGGGTGAAAGTTGAGGCTTGTCTGTGCCTATAAAGCTCTAAAATCAGAAAAACCAAAAAGAACAGCTACACTACACCATAGAGGTGCGCTGAGAGGGAAAAGAGAGAGAGAGAGAGAGAAAGAGAGAGAGTTTGGAGGGGTTATGCGGTAGGCGGTGGGGTGACAGCCCCCCACCACTAATCGTGGGTTCAGTAAGCAAAATTGTATGGTTGAGATATATAAATATTATATTAAAGTCATTGAGAGGATGAGAGATAAAGAGATATTAAAACAATGGAGTCAGACACATTTCATGGTAGCCTTGCTCACCTCAGCCCCGCATGGTGATCCCAGTGGAGAGAGGGGGAAGGGAAGGAGGAGAGGACAAGGGAGTGAGGAGGGTGGGAGAGGAGAGCGATCTCTATTGCTAACGCAGGCCTTTATCCCTTTGAGGGGAGTGCAAGCCCCCTAAGTACAGTTGAAGCCCTAACGGCACAGGAAGGGGTTGCACTCTAGGTCATACAGCAACGAGAGGGGGTGGTCTAGGGACATACACCCAATAGAAAGAGGAGGGATTGGGGGGTATACATGTGACAAGATGGGAGGATCCTAGATTCAGACAAACTTGGGATGTCCCAGGATTGGGTTTGATCTGTTCTCTGGATCAACTGATAGACCATTATCAGTAGGGTGTGAACTCCACCCACAGGAACCAAATCAATGACTTGCAGGCCTGTCCATTGTCCTTAACAGCAGGGAGCGGGGCCCTACTCCCTGGTGACTGTCTTCATGGAGGATGTCTGTAAGCATCTGACCTCCCCCCACAGGGTTAGATTTGATATTTGTCTTCATAGACCATATGCCCTACAAATAGGGACCATACATTATTCCCTTAACCTGTATATTTTGTTACTGTGTCCATCAGTGCTTAATAGATTGTGTAACCATTGTTAAAAATCTTATTTATTGAGAATATTTAAAATATTTTTCCCTTTTCAGACTCCAAAAAACAAAGCTACAATCTTCAAGTTATGCAGCATCTGCCTCTACCTGCCACAGGAGCAGCTCACCCACTGGGCAGTCGGCACCATAGAGGACCACCTCCGTCCTTACATGCCAGACTGAAGCGCTGACCAGCCCGGGGAGAAGATCGGAGAATGCAGCAGCAATGTTTTTCTTGTTTTCTTACCACTTTATTCTTTCAGAATTTAAGGGGGAAAAGGACTCACGCACAGAACACTATGCATTTTGAAACTTGTTCATTTTGGATTTTTAAAAAAATCATTTGTCTCAGAACTTTAAAAAAAATTAGAAGTCTTCTGCACGGACTATGTGAAAGAAGATGCTTTGCATATTTGCTGCACTGCATCAGCATCTTGCTAAAATGTGAAGTGAAAGGACTATTGTGCACTGAAATGCTTACATGTATCTGAAAGCACACGGCGACTCCTTTCTGACGGTCTTCCCATTTGCGCTGGTCTTTGCCTCTTTGACACCTGTCATCAGTATTTAGAGGGTGAGAAGTGAATGTAACAGGTATAAATAACATTTTTTTAAACTTACTAGCTTTGCTGTAATCACCATTGTACCAGAGCACTGTCAGATTCATTCTAATGACCAGAAGTGGTTGTTCCATGTTTAAAAAAAGGACAACCACGGGAAAGAAATCTTAAATGAAAAGAAAGCACCGGGTAGGCAGTTTGCCTCCGTGTTGCTGGCCACGCTTGTTCTGGTACTCATTAGTTCATGGATTTTAGTTTCCCAGTCTCTTTCCCCAAGTTGCTGTTATTAAAGAGTATTCTGCTGAGTGTAGACAGTTCTACACACGAAAGCAGATCTGGAGTCTGAAGTAGCTAATGCAGCTCTACATGCAGCTATAAACAAATTCTTTCATAGCTGCAGAAACCATGATAGAGGATTTTCCTTATTGGGGTTTTTTTTTTTTGTATTAAAGATGAGATCATATTACAAAGAAAAAGTCAATTGTGCATAAATACAGGTTTCTACACCATATTTAAAAGTTCGAGGGTTTTTTGGGAGTGGAGGAAAAATGTTATGAAAGTTGGGATCTTAAAATTGTAAAAAAAAAAGTGTCAAAACAGAATTCATGTTGTGCAATGAACATACAGAAAGACTACTGTATAGGGTTTTTTGGTTCTGTTTTTTTTTTTTTCCTTTTAAATGAAGAAAAGCTTTGCTTAAGGGTTGCATACTTACTGGAGTAAATCTGAATGATCCTCCTTTGGAGTACAACTAGTGCTTACTGGTTTCCAATTGTATTTAGCTTCTGGTTGGAATTTGAAAAAATGAAAACCTAAATAAAATAGGTGAAAGTTCCCTGACTGTTCAGGGGAATACTTAAAAGCCTGAAGTAGTAACTTTTTTTTCCACGTCATGGGGGTGTTTTTGTATTACTGCCCTGGGTCCATTCTCATTCACGGGGACATCTGTCAGCCTTCCATTGTAAGGAAGAGCCAATCCTTTCTTTGTAGTCTGTCATCGATCTAAATAACACCTAATGAATAATTCACACACCTGTGTCTTTCTTAAGCCCCGGTTGTTTATCGAATTGCCTATCCCGGGCACTGCGGGCAAGGCCTGCAGTTGAAACCCACCAGGAACTCCTTGGGACAACCCGTTTTCTGCTGCCATCAACATTCCTAGCCTCTGAATCCCAAGAGACAGGAGTTCTGTCTGCCCTAACAGGTCCTGAGTCAGCAGTGACTCATGGCATTGAGTGGTTTCCGTGTCCTTGAGCACAAGGCCGCCTTTGAGGCCCAAGATAGATTGATGGCGTCACTTCTCTGGACTACGGACACCCTACCATTGAACCAGGCAGTACTCCAAGAAGCCCAGGTTTCTCTCACTGGGGAGTACTGGGAACAAGATCCGGGTGTGCTGATGTGTTCCCTGCTCCTAGGAAGTCTACCGTGTTTGTGCTTTGTGTAGACAGTTCTACATCCACTCTATTACAGGCAAAGGGTAATCAAAGGGGGCAGTTCAAAGCAAGGCTTAACTGGTAGCTATACTATGTTTCCAAATTTATTGGACGTTGCTTCTTTTCCTTTCAATTTGGTAATTCCATGTTCACCAAGACCCCCAATAACAAATCAAATATTAGAGTGCCACAGTCAACAAAACTTTGAAAACTGAACTAAACCATTTGCAACATTTTTTTGGTTGTGAAAATACGTATCTGCTGAACTTGGAGTTCTCACATGTATAATGAGAGGATATCAACTGCACCATGCGTAATCGTTACCAAGAAATACTGCCAATTTTTCACTGTGACCTTACTTGGTCATTTTAATGCGTAGACTGGAAGAGTATTCTAGTAGTGTGGGTTTCTCCTTGAAAAGAAAGACGCCCACTTTGTCCAGGGAAAGTGAAGTTGGACCGACAGGACTGAAGCATAGTGATGAGCTGGGCTGCTGACCACAAGGTCAGCGGCTCGAAGCCACTTAGTTGGAGACCATGAGGCTTTCCCTTTCCATGGTCTCGGAAACTCAGGCCTGCCCTGCCCCCTAGGGGCGCCATGAGGGAATTGGCGGGATGGCAGTGAGTTCCCAAGTTCGCCGTGACTGGCTGCAGGCTTCCCACTTTGCTGTCACTAAGAAATGAACTGCACTGCTGCCAGGTTTCTGCTTTACAGATTGAGACTTTCACAGGTTTTACTGTGATCAATCTCAGAGCACAGGCACTCCCATTGGTCATTCCCTGTGTCACTAAATTGTGTCTCTTTGTAAGAAAAAATATAATTCCTGGTTTGGGCTATGATGAATTATTTTGAAATCCCAAGATCTCGGAATTGGGCTAGAAAAGAAGTGGAAATGTGACAGGGTATCTTAGCTAGGAAGGCCCTAAATTGCATGTTAATTTGTTTCCTTCAGTTTACTATAGGACTCAGAGCCCCCTCCTAAGTTTTATTGAGAATATACACAGAAATATACCAATTCCAGTTTCTACATGTTCAGTTTAATGACATAACATTCCTCAAGTCGTGTAACCAATCTTACCTTCCTTCTGAGTAGGTCTTCCTTCATTACAAGCTCCCTGCCCCTTAAGATTCCTGTCTAATTTCTTGAGTTGCTGTTTCCAACTTGATCTCCCATATAGATAGTTCTTAAAGTCATATAATGCTTAAGGCAAACTTTTTAATTAGTTCAACAGTTGCTTGATTTTGAGATGATTTTCAGGAATGTGTTTGGTTTACGATTTAATGATTATCTCAGAGCAATAGTTTCGTGGCTCCAGGAAGTCTGGAGTTGATGAGGGTTTGAAAGATCCCCGGATGCTATGGAATCTAATCAGAATGTCCAGGATGGTAGCTGGGCACCCCCCAGTTTGGGTCTCATGGCAAAGGAGGGAACTGGCCACACGTTCCACAGCTGCCTCCTGCTCCTGACTCCACCTTCCTGTTACTCCACGTAGATAGAGACGTTACTGCACTTTAGATGGCAGCTTGCAAGTCTGTAAGACCCTTTGTATTATGCAGCAAAGTGGAGGTAGAACAGAGGCAGTGAGCATGTTATTAGGTCAATTCACTGTGATGCCCCCTGAAACCATGACTCTCAACCTCTAAGGAAGCAAACCCCCCTGAAGTGTTTGCTGTACATATGCAGCATTAGCAGCTCACCTTTCTGTTGTACAAATGCCACATAACTACCCAATTCAGTTTTTATAGGTGTACAATTTATTGACAGTAATTACAATAAATAGCTGTGTACCCCTACCCTTAATGCAATTTTGCATCACGATTAGCCCCCTTGGACCTCTCTCTCACTCCTGGTAACCACTGGCGAACTTTGATCTCTGTACACTGATCTGTTTTCCAGTCGTTTATATAAGTTAGGTCATACAGTATTTGTCCTTTTCTGGCTGGCTGCTTTTGCTTAGCCAAATGTCTTCCAGCATGGATCAAACCTTCCCTGGAATTTACTTTTAAAAGAATCTTACCACAAGGTGGCTCCTGCTAGTTCTGTTGTACTTTTACAGTTAACTTTATGAATTTTGTTTCATTCAGGCAAGAGCCACATGATTAAAAAAAAAATTAAACGCTTAAAATAAAAGAAACGATAGGAACCCCTACCCTCCTTGGTGTTTATGGTCCTTTCCCCCGGAGAAAATGTTGCTTGGCTTTTTTTTTCTTTTTTCTGGTTCTCATTTATTTTCAACAATTAAAAGTCACATTTGCACTTGGTTTTCATTGCTAGGTTTCTGCGGGTCCAACTGCTAGGCTCTCAGTTTCCAAGGTGCTTCGTGTGTCTGCCCTGTGCTATTAGTTTTCCTGTGACCTTGTTGGTCAAATCCACAGAGGCAAAGGCCAGCGTTTTCCCTTGCTTCAGAACGTGTGCAGTAATCACGACATCTTCTCCTACTTTAGCAGGGGACATGTACCTTGAAAGGAAACAAATTTAAATGTAGTTAAAGGGAAAGTGGTGCACACCTCAATACAGCCTTCCTATGTCTCTTGAATAACACCTAAACATAGTTCAAGAAGTGTATTTATTCTGGTTTCTGGTCCATCACATGTAGACGGTTGGTCCTGACTGCGCTCCATCTTACTTACCTTTTTCCATAAATATAGGAAGGAGTTCTCTTGCCTCTTTTTCCTTTAAGTTTCCTACCTTTATTTGGGGCTAGTATAAGAATTCTAGCTTTCATCTAACTGCTTTAAATTCCAGCTTGAAGGATCACTTGATTTCTATACTGCATCATTTCAATATTCAGAATGTAATCAACTCTGAAGTGATATCATAAGGACTATGAGAAACAGGGGTCCTGAAAACTGCGATGATGAATTGTATCCACCAATTTTTTAAGAGAGCTACTTTCTGCCCACTTATTCGTCCTTAAGGAGCCTGCTGACAGATAGTGTTGGTAAGGGTTTAACTGCCAACATCAGAGTCGGCAGTTCAGCCACTCAAAGGCCCTCCCACAAAGAGTTACCGTCTCAGAAACCCTGTATTGGTCACTATGAGTTGGAAATGACTCAATGGCAGTGGGTTTGGGTTTTGGGTTTGGAGTTGTCTACAGTTCAGCTGACTCCACTAAATTAAAGACAATGAAGTATGAGGACTATTGAAAACAATGTTAGTGTTTGAAAAGGGAATCATTTCCTTATAGTTTATCATCATTCTGCTTTTTTATAGAGCAAGGAATATATATATATATAGCCAAGACTTCAATGTTTGTGACTGGTTGTGACTTTATTGCTAGAGAGAACAAAGGCCAGTTTTGAATTTGTGTACCTAAAGAAATCAAAATAGGATACCAAGTCTCTATTTTAATTTTCCCAAAATGTTATGTTAAAAATCAAGACATTCAGGCAAAAGGCCATTAAATGAAACCAGGGAGAGAACTGAGTGTGTCATAAACGAGCAAGCCTTAAGTTTGGAAAGTCTGGCATCTTCCCAACAGTGCTCCGATCCTGGGAGTGCTATGCTGGCTCAAGCAGTTAAGTGCTTGGTAACTAACCGAAAGGTTGACAATTCAAACCTGCTCCGAGGAGCCTCAGAAGACAAGCGTGCTGATTGGCCTCCAAAGGGCCTTTGTCACTGTGGAGCAGTTCTACGCTGCTCGCACACGGGTCACCGTGAGTCGGAACCCACTGCCGACGACTCACTAATAACATTCCCAACCCAGCATTAGCCGCTTTATTTGAAAAAGCAGCTTTTTTTTTTTTTTAAACCTAACTCATAATCTGACACACGTTTAGTCTGTGTAATCTAGGATTTACAGTGTAAACCTGGGACCATGTCAGCGGTAGTACCAAGAGGGAACCATAGGCGGTCACAGAAACGTCTTCTCTCACTGGAGTAAATCTTGGAGGCTCGGCCTTGGTCTCTACTCAAGCGAGTGACTTTCTGCAGCGATGGGAGCTCTAGCTGGGGGGCTGGGGGTTTGGCAACACATACTTTGAAAGGTTGAGCCATTAAAGCTTTGGGAGGGTGGGGATGGGTGAGTAGATCCTTTTCAGTCTCACCAACTACAGTGCTAGGTTTGCAGACTGCTCTGTGTTCTCATTTGAAGTGTTTAAGGAAAAGCAGTCATTAACTAGCCTGGCCACCTGGAACAGGCGGTCTTTTCCGGCTTTTTTGGGTTTTGGTACATCAAAAGTGCAATTACCTACATCTTGTTCTGTGGGTGGGCTTACTGAGACCTCAATTTAACTTATTCCCATAGGAAAGGGGGGGGCTGATTTCCATGGCCCTCATATCTCTAACACTGACTCACCAAAATTCCTGCCTGTCCCCCAATAGGTACCTTTTCTGTGTTGGTAGAAAAAGTCATTGTCTTGTAACTAAGTCTGGAAGCCCTGTGTGTGGCTTTAAGAACAGGACTGGGAGCCCCATTTGTTTGTGCAGGAATTCCACATTTTGGATCTGTGTGACCCTTGTCAGCACTTTCACTATAGGAGGCAGCCTCACGTCTGGAGGGCTGCTTCCACTGACAAGCTACCCACCTGCGAGCTTGTGTCAAGCGCCTCCTCGGAGAAAGAACCTGATCGTGATCTGAAGGCTGGCAGCCTGTGTTAATCTTCTTACAAGATCACAATGTGCATACGAAGCCTTTCTTTTTGAATTACAGCCATACGTTTCTACAAGTATATAGACTTCATAAAATCCTCATAAGATTATATGTACATAGGATCGATCTCTCTTTTGACCCATTCAAGAGTTGTTTTACAGTTTAAAAGGGAAAAAAGGGAAGGGGAAAGACACATGGGTTAAGCCTCGGATGAAACCCCCCTGACCACAGACCAGGGAGGTGAATAGCCCTGCTATCAGGCAAAGTGAATTGGAAAGCAAGGTTAACATTTAATACCTTATCATTTGGTCTCCCTTTTGACCCATTTAATTTTAAAAATATTTTCTGCTTTCTCTTTGATTAAGGTTTTTCTGTTTTACTTTGAAGTTTTGTTGTTGTTGTTGTTGAGTATGTCTTTCTGTATATGAACTCCAGGAGAAGTAAATCTATAGAGATAGTCACTGGATTATTGGTTTCTTGGGGGTATAGCTGGGGCAGTTGGAAAGAAATGGGGAGCTAATGGTGAATAGAAGAAAGAAGAAAATGTTTTAACATTGTGGTAATGACTATACAACTCTTGCTATGATTGAACTATTAAGTTGTATATATGCCAACAAAACTGTCTTAAAAAGAGACAAAAATTTCAGGTATCAAAAGAAAAGACTGTATATACAAGTAACTAAAGAGTATGAAACATCTGGTACTTGGAAATCGAGGAACCTTGGGTAAAGGGTACAGCCAAAAGATTAGTGGTTCAAACTCACCAACTTCTCCAAGGGGAAAGGCTGTGGCAAGATTAGTCTGGGAAACCCTCCGGGCAGGTCTACTGCGGCTTATCGGGTTACTGTAAGTCAGAATCCACTCAATGGCTATGGGTTTGATTTAGTTTGGTATTCAGAAATTGGTTTCTCTCGTTATATTTTTTAATGTCATGGAATATTTCAGGGCAAATTTCTACCTACACTTAAGGATGACCAGGTAAATAAACCTCATGCTTTATTTGTGTGATAAATGTGTTCAATAGCTTGTATACATACGTTATGTTCATATCGACACTGACTCCAGGTGCCGCCCTGTCAGTGCACAGCAGGGCCAACGTGGATATGCTATCCACTAAGGTGGCTGTCAGACCACCGTGCAGAGTGCCCATCTTATTGGCATGCTGCTCTTCCACTCTCATTTCACAAACCACTTTCCCAGGAGCAGAGGAAACAACAGACACCTAAATGTAACAAGAAAAGGAGAAAATGTTCAACAATCTGTGACAATGTTCAACATTCAACATTCATTCTGTGGTGTTAAAAAAAGCCCAAGGGATCACCCTCTCCTCTCCTCTCCTCTCACATCACCCTCTCCTCTCCTCCCCTCTCACATCACCCTCTCCTCTCCTCTCCCATCACCCTCTCTTCTCCTCTCCTCTCCTCTCCTCTCCTCTCACATCACCCTCTCCTCTCCTCTCCTCTCTTCTCCTCTCCTCTCCTCTCACAGGACACTCTCTTCTCCTCTCCTCTCCTCTCCTCTCACAGGACACTCTCTTCTCCTCTCCTCTCCTCTCACAGGACACTCTCTTCTACCCACCGCTGAGCATAAGAAAGAGATTGCAGGCAAGATAGCGGAGAAAAGCAAGTCAGGTTGTTTAAAAACATTTTTAAAAAAACACAAGACCATAGTGTGAATTTCTCAAATCAGGATGGAAGTGGGAGAAAACTACTAAAGCCTTTGAAATCAGGTGAGAGAGATACACCCCACCCCCTCTCCTCGCCTCACACATCACCCTCTCCTCTCCTCGCCTCACACATCACCCTCTCCTCACATCACACACTCTCCTCTCCTCTCCTCGCCTCACACATCACCCTCTCCTCTCCTCGCCTCACACATCACCCTCTCCTTTCCTCTCACATCTACTCTACTCTCCTCTCCCCTCACAGCACCCTCTCCTCTCCTCTCCTCAAACTCTCCTCTCTTCTCCCCTCACAGCACACCCTCCTCTCCTCTCACATCACCCTCTCCTCTCCTCTCCCATCACCCTCTCCTCTCATCTCTTCTCACATGACCCTCTCCACTCCTATCCCCTCACCTCTCACATCACACTCTCTGCTCCTCTCACATCTACTCTCCTCTCCCATCACCCCCTCCTCTCCTCACACATCACCCTCTCCTCTCTTCTCCTCTCGCCTCTCCTCTCCTTTCCTCTCCCCACACATCACCCTCCTGTGATCTCTTCTCACATCACCGTTTCCTCTCAGATCACACTGTCTGCTCCTCTCCCATCACCCTTTCCTCTCACATCACCCTCTCCTCACAGCACAGTCTCCTGTGATCTCTTCTCACATCACATTCTCCTCTCCTCTCTTCTCCTCTCACATCACACTCTCTTCTCTTCTCCCCTCACAGCACATCCTCCTCTGCTCCTCTCACATCTACTCTCCTCTCCTCTACCATCACACTCTCCTCTCCTACCCTTTCCTCTCACATCACACTCTCTGCTCCTCTCACACCTACTCTCCTCTCCTCTCCCATCACACTCTCCTCTCCTCTCACATCACCCTCTCCTCTCCTCTCACAGCACACTCTCCTCTCCCCGCCTCTGACATCACTCTCCTCTCACAGCACACTCTCCTCTGTCTCCTCTCCTCTCCCATCACACTCACCTCTCCTCTCCTCTCCCATCACACCCTCCTCTCTCTCCTCTCCTCTCATAGCACCCTCTCTTCTCCTCTCCTCCCCTCTCACATCACCCTCTCCTCTCCTCTCACCCTCTCCTCTCCACTCCTATCCCATCACCCTCTCCCTCTCTTCTCCTCTCCTCCACAACACACCCTCCTCTCCTCGCCTCTGACATCACTCTCCTCTCACAGCACACTCTCCTCTCCTCTCCTCTCAGATCACATCACCCTCTCCTCCCCTCACATCACCCTCTCCTCTCTTTTCCTCTCCCATCAAACTCTCCTCTCCTCTACGCTAATCTCACACTCTCCTCTCACAGCACACACACACAAAAAAAAGCCCAAGGATCCATACAGAACTATCATTAGATAAAACTGGGAATCTCCTAGAAAACACTGGTTACCAAGCACTTAACTGCTTGAGCCAGCATAGCACTCCCAGGATCGGAGCACTGTTGGGAAAATGCCAGACTTTCCAAACTTAAGGCTTGCTCGTTTATGACACACTCAGTTCTCTCCCTGGTTTCATTTAATGGCCTTCTGCCTGAATGTCTTGATTTTTAACATAACATTTTGGGAAAATAATAGAGATTTGGTATCCTATTTTGATTTCTTTAGGTACACAAATTCAAAACAAAGCAACCCACGAATCTCTTTGTAATAGAAACGAATCCTATGTACCTATGTCAAGTGGGAATATTTAAGGAAAAATGGTAGTTCACATTAAAATGGTAGCGCACAAAACTTAACTCCCCCAAATCGAAAACCCCACATGAATCCACACGTTAAGGACCAACAAAACAAAATAAAAAAAACTCTCCCACTTTCATACCATCTGTTTTCTTTTCTCTTATAGCACTTACCACCATCTATCATATGAAACATTGTACTTGTGTGATGTTTGATGTTTTGACACAAGCAGGGGGCTGGGGTCAGTTTTACTCACCAGTCTATTCCGTGTGCCTTGTCTGGTGCCGGGCACAAATAGGCACATACATGTTTGCTGCAGGAGTGCAGCACTCTAAGTACATGGGTCAACAAAACGCATTCTCTTACCACATGACCAGAATTGATTTGCTTCAGCAATTGACTAAACAGAGAACCTTCGACGTGAAAGGTATGTTATTGGGCACCTTCTACTGGGCACTACAGTTCAACTTGACAATGAAAAAAAAAATATATATATATATATATATATATCTACTGTGGACTTGCTCCCAGAGTTTTCAGTTTGATCCACTGCCATTGAGGGCAGAGTAGCACAGCTCCATGGGGTTCTGTACATCTTTACTGCAGCAGACGGTACCCCTCATTAAGTTAGATGAAGAGCAAAGTATTTCCCAACTATGCTCACAGTTCAGTAAGTAAGACAACACAAGAGGGACAAGGTACAGGAAGGAAAGGAGCAGGAGATTTGAGGATGCTAGAGGAGGCTTCTCAGGGACAGTGGGTGTGGCCTGAAAAGGACTTTGAGGGGGAAACAGGAAAAGGGATGGCAACTGGAGCAGGGGCAGAAGATTCCAAGACCAGGGAGACGGCACTCCTTGAAAAGTGTGCAAACCAGTGGTGGTCATGCACGAGAGAGGCCCAAAATATCAAACGTTACAAGTGAGTACCATGGGAGGGAAAGAAGCCCTTAGGGAAAAGGGGGAAATTAATGAACTATTCCCTGCAGATAAAATGAGCTGAAATTACTCTTGTGTGTAGGCAGTGGTGGTAGCGGTGAGAGGCGTGCCATAAAATAATAGTAATAATAACCCCCCAAAGAATAACAGCAATCAAGGCATCTTCCCCCAAAGTGGTAAACACAGGTATTGTTGAGTCCTTCCTGAATGCCTACAGGGCAGGTGCTGTGAAGGCCTCTGTATGTTAATCATACTGACACAGGTTCTCGCACGGCAAAAGCATGGAGTCGTGTAGAAACTGTGGAGCTGGGCCAGTTTGGAATCCAGGACCCACATATACAATAGCTAGCAGGCAGGGGCGGCACCTTGAGAAAAGCAAATATGGTAACCCAAGGTCAGGGAGGGAGTTTAGCTTCTATAGGATGAAGCCTCCACTAAACAACAACAAAGAAGTTTAAATCATCTCTTCATTGAGGAACAATATTCCAGAAAGTCTTGGCGCTTCTAGGGTGACTAAGTAAAAATGCTATTTCTTTTATATGGTAGTCTGAATTTTTAAGAGATCCATTTGTTTTTTTACTAAAAGCCCTCAGATGGTAACTTTCTGAGGTCTTTACAAACCTCAGAACTTGAATAAAGGGATTACTAAAACAAGTGCTTCATATTTCTTCATTCCTCACCAATAATGCATAGGATTACTCTTAATTTTTAAGGCGCAGTCCAGGTGATACAATGATTAAGTGCCAGCTATTAACTGAAAAGTGGTTCAAACAAGAACTTTGAACCAGTTCATTTTGGCTCAACCTCCTGATGAGAATTTGTCTTTCCACCCTAGATATACAGAATCCAAATCTACCCCGGTAATTCTAACATATAATATGTTTTACATAAGAGACCCACTTGTTTTATCAGTGGTTCCCAGAACTGGTCCACAACCAGTGGCATTAGCATCATCTGGGCACTAGCTGGAAATTCAAATTCCAAACCAGCCCTCAGGAGCTTCACGGGGGAAAAGCTGGTGACCTGCTTCTGTTAGGGTGACAGCCTAGAGAAACCCTATGGGGGAGTCCTACCTGTCCTATAGGGTTGCTATGAGTCGGAATCAATAAGGGCACTCAAGAACGCCTAATTTTCCTAAGCATGGAGCTAGGCGTCTTGGTGGCAGAGTGGGTTACTCATGGAGCTGCTAACCGCAAGGTCAGCAATTCAAAACCAACAGTGGCTCCACAGGGGGAAAAATGAGGCTGCCAACTTCTATAAAGAGCTATAGTCTTGGAAGCCCATAAGAGTCATTTTGTCCTGCCCTATAGGGTCATTATGAGCTGGAGTAGACTCATTGGCAGTGGATTTCTTTTTTAAGCACTGAGCTGCTAACCACAAGGCTAATGGTTCAATCCTACCAACTGTTCTGTGAACAGAAATTGAGGCTGCTTACTACTGTAAAGATGTAGTCTTAAAAACCTGAAGAGGCCGTTCTACCCTGTCCTATAGGAGAGGGCTGCTATGAGTTGAAATTGACTCAGTGGCAGGGAGTGTTTAAATTTAAGCCAGACTTGTCTGCATTTTGTTCACTGTGAGCAGCCATTGACTGTCAGGGGAGCCCGCCCCTAACAAATCATCACAGATCCAGAAGGCACAATTGTACAGTGATAAGAAGTAAAGATTATAGTAAAGTCAGAGAGACTAGGAGAGAAGAAAGATCGAAATAATGGAGTCAGACACATTTCATAGTAGCATGCTCACCTCAGCGCCTCTTGGTGGTACAGGGCAGGAGATAGATTTATTGCTAACCAAGGCTTATATATATATATTTTGGGGACGTGTAAGCCCCCGAATTACAGGTTAAGACATACGTCACAGGAAAGGGTTGTACTATAGGTAATACAGTAATGGGAGGGGGACAATCTAGGGGTAGGAAGAGGAGGGATAAG